CTTCAATCTCTTCACTTTCTACAACTTTTAATGTCATTACCAGCTATTTGAAATTTTTCTCAATGTCGCGGCAGTGCTTTTGACTATCTTTCTGAGAGTCCCTTAACTATCTGTCCCATTTGATTTTCCAAATTCTTGATGGCAGCTCCCTGAACTTGCAAGGCCTTATCTGTTCTTTGTAATTGTTGTGTAGAGATCTCCGCCAATTTAGTAACAAGATCTTCTAATAAAGATTTATTTTCGATCTTCTGAAAACCTGGCGGTGCAGTTTGCTGTGGTACGATCAGAGCCCCTGATTATTGTTCCATGAGAAATTGAGATGATTTCTCCAACCAAGATTGTATGTGTTGGAATCGGGATTAGTTTGCTGTCCATAGAAGTTTTGTGTATTGTTAACATCTTCCATTGATTGGACAAATGGGCACCCATATTGCAATCTACGCTCTCATAGTTCCCTCCACAATGCTTGCACTCGGTCTGGTTATTTGAATTGCACTCATATGTTCCACTTTCTGAGATAAAGCTGCCAGTTACGCTGAGATTTCTGTCAATGGATCCACCTCATGTATCCCAGTTGTTTTTTATACACATGTTCTTTATGTTGGCCATAGTGCACTAGTGAATGCCAAATCTTCCATGATTTGCTAGACTTAATCCGCTATCCTCTTCGTAATAGACCCATATCATGTAGAGTCAACATTAGTCTTGCTTGTTAGATTTAGCCCAATGTAGAAATATTGACCTTAGAGCCATTTTGCAGCCCATGCTATGGATATTAACTGAGCAATCCCTTGTACCTTTTACAAGCTTCATAGTAGCACTCTGAGTGGAGTTGAGAATGTAATGATTTCATCCCTCAACCTGGCAATCCTTTTATGAGAAAAATATGTGTTCGAAAATTTCTGACTCAAAACTGTTCCAACTGGTGATGCTGTGAGGAGAAAAAGTATCCAACCATTCCCTAACTAAATCTCTCAAAGTGTAAGAAAAAGCCTCAGCAGAATTGCTTCACTTGAAACCCCATGATATTATATTGTTGTACACATATCCAGAAGTATTGAGATGTGAGCATTGGGATTTTTAGTAGCCCTCCCAAAGAATTATAGTGCAATCTGAAACATATTGATCACATCCGTCCTTAATTGAAAATTTGCCTGACCAAATGTCGGATACACGACACTGGATTGGGATTTAGACAACTGGTAGAACTATATACTCTCCCATCAACTTAGCATTCTCATTCCCTGTTGTCGAATTGGATGTGTTGCTTCTTCATTCGCCCAATAGGAATTTGATTTTAATTTTTCTGCCATGAGCTCCACTTGTTGTTTTTGGTGTGCTTCTAATTGTTTTTTTCTTCTCGACCTGAATGTTCATTCATTTTTTCGATTAAATTGAATAAGATCACCGTGTCTCGAATTTTGCATACCTTCCTGAAAATGAAAAAGAAAAAGAATATACTATAATATTTTTCTAATAAATGAAACTAAATAAATATGCAATAAAAATTCAAATTAAAGTTAAAACTAATTAAATACAATAGTCCCTGACAACGAGACCAAAAATTTGATCATTTGATTTCCCGCAAGTGAACATGAATGTGAACAAGTAATATAGTAGTGTGTCAAGTGTCGAACTCACGAGAACTAAGTATTTAATCAAGTTCAAATCAATTGCAATTCTAATCGAATAGCAAACAACTTTTGTGATTTTTTAAATACTAATCCCTAAATTATCAATTAAACTAATGAAAGTAAGTAAATGTGTTTTTCAAATATGTAATATGAATTTCTAAGATGTCAAATCCCCTTATTATTCTATTTTAGTGTTACAATGAAAGTGACAATTTGGAATCACTCATGCTGGTCAATGTTCCTAATTTAATTGAAAGTCTCTCTCGATAGCGATCAAGTATATTCCTCTCATGTGACCCTTTTATCTCTCGATGAAAGATGTAAACATGATAAAATGCATTAACAAGTGATAGAACACCTATTGAAACCATATAAAACATAGATATATATTTCTACCTCGATCAAACCTTACAATATTTATTATATTATGTTTAAACCACATTGTCTCTCTCGATAACAATAAAATCCACTAACAATTCAATTAGTGATCAAGTAATTGAAAAAAAACGATAATAAATATCCACAAATCAAATCAAATTAAAGTTAAAATAATTAATTAAAATCTAAAAATATCATAACAAGGGTTCATCTTATCCTAACAACGTATATGACTAGCATAACATATCGAAATTACAAGAAATAATATTTAAGTGAAAAGATATAACCCGAATTTTTGATAAATTGAGAAGATGAAGGTGAATCTTAAAATCTTTTATCTCTTCAATGGTTTCTTGATGAATTTCCACTTCTGTCTTCCACTCTTTGCCCAAAAGTTAAGTTTGAATATTCACTTAATTGAATTCTTACAAGTCTCGTTCAATTATCTCACAAAAACTATGATTTTTTCTCTTTTTTTAATAATAATCGATGAATAATATTGGAGTATAATATGTAGATAAGATGTCTCTAATATGTATTCTATTGTTAGTTATTTATAAGAGTAGAAAACTGATTGAAAATCACGTCCAAATTGATTTTCAAAAGAGTTTCAATAGAATAAGGAAAGTTGCCTTCGCGCGCAGATTTTTTGTCATTGTACAGCAGTCAATATTTTGGCATTAACTTTCTCGTACGACATTCGATTGAGGTAATTCAAAGTGCGTTTGAAAGATAACTCCAAGGTAAAACGTTTCTAGAAATAGGATTTTCCAATTAAGGCGTTTACTATGCCAAAAATGGATCTCAATCTTCGACTAGAAATATGGAATATAACTTTTGTGATTGTAAATTAATTTTGATAATATTTTGATCATATTTCATTCCTTTTTGAGTTCTAATTACATACAGTTGTCTTTTAGCAATCTTCAAAGTATCGTCTTGTAGTTCGAGTTAACTATTGAATATTTACAATTTGGTTCGCAAACATTGGACTTTGCCCTTTTTCTTTGATTTCTTTTGTTTCTTCCCATTCATTTTTCATTCATCAAGTTTCACCTATTAAACATAAAATACAACAATTTATAATATATTTTGTCAAAAGAACTATCAAATGTCGCTATTTTAGGCCTGAATAAATGTATAAAATACACTTATCAATAATCGTAAGTTGTTTCAATGTCCATGCCATCATACAACATTAGGTAAGATTTATAAATAATTAGATTTACATGTAAATCAAAATTTGATAACTTGTTCCAACTTGAATGTAAGTTAGTAGATTGAAGTTAGATTTACTAATTACACCAAATTAAACTCGAGTGACCTAGATGCACATTCATTTAAAATTGGATGACATGAAATACATTTAACTTGAGAAACTACGATTATCTTCCTTTTAGCCAGTTATAGATGGAAGTGATCAAGGGTCGGGATGGTTGGGAAAGGCTGAGCGATCTCTGTAAATATTTCAAGTCCGAGGGATAACTTACACATTGGGGAGTTACGCCCTAACACTATACAATCTGCATGTGGAAAGAGGTTTCATTAGCACAAGGGGTGTTTATTCTATACCAAGTTTCAAGATGACTTACCTCAAGGAAAACAATAAAGTTAGATGTACATTCTACCTTGACAAGGTATTTTACCTCAAGGAAAACAATAAAGGTATGTGGAAGAAATCTGGTTAGTGATGGTATGAATGTGTTTAAAATTAGCATTCACGTTATATATACATCATCATTTACATCATTTTTACATTTTTTCACGTGACAACACACAATTTGACAATTTAAATTTTTGACATTTTTTGACCAATCATCACTTGCAAACATTTGTCATGTCAACCATAATGTCAAAAAAGAATGTACAAGTGACATTTTCCTAAAATTAATGGTGTAGATTGCTACCACATGGAAGAATGTCAAATATAATGTAACTCATAATGTACATGTAACATGGTTAGAATTAAAATAGTTTTTACCGAACTTTCCGGGTGACTTGCCTTAATAAAAAAATAGTCATGCTACATGTACACTCTTGTGTACATCTTTCCTTACAATGTGTCACATGGCGTCATTATTCCCTTTAAATTCTTGAACAATCTCTCTCCTTTCTGTCTAGATTATGCCCATATGAGGAAGTGTAAAGGTTGACGCACACAAGAATGTATATCTAGCATAATTGTATTGTTTATTGGTTATTTTGTGACCAACTTTTCTCATCAGACACGGCATCCATCCTTGGTCCTAGATTGTGCGACCTACTTTTTTTGACTACTGTTAAAAAGCCTCATGGTTACATCCTTGTTAGTACGACACTAAAACTAAGACACTACCAGCATACAATTGTTGTAACAATCATGCTATGCTGCTAAAAAAGGTTTGACACCCTCATACAACTTATTTACAAATAGGGAAGAGCATTTTTTGGTATTTTTTATTCATGCAGATCCCACGCGCTTGTGAGTTCATGTCAACGAATGGTCAAAAATTTTCCAGTAAAAGAGCTTTATTCTTGATGTAAACCACACCCACCAACAATTTACAAGTCAAGTAATAAATACACAATTTGACCTTGAAATTATATATATATATATATA